CAGCGCTGCTTCCTCCTGCATTTTCTGCTCTATTTTTTCCAGCCACTGGTGCTCTCAGAAAGCAAATGCTTTTTCAAGAAGGTCATGGAACCAGTCCCAGGACTGCCTGGGGCAGCACCTCCTGCTAGCGCTGCGTTGGCGTAAGAGAAGAGCCCTCAGCAATAGGCCTCGTGCCCCTGTTTAAAGCTGGCTGTGTGCTGGGAGTGCAGGACGTTTTCCTGTGCTGTGCATTCGTCCTTTGTTGAAGTTTGAGTGGTTGAGAATGGTTGCCCTGTCACCTGGACTGTAAAAAAGAAAAGATCATTTAAAAAGTGTTTTAAACTGGGTAAACAGCTTTTGGTCCATCAGAAAATGCTTTTGGTTTCCTTCCTGTTCTTCCGTGCCATTAATCTGTGTTCTGATGAGCGCTCTGCAGTAGCCCCTGCCTGATGGAATTTACTTCTGCTTCATTTTAACAGGTGGAATTTCATGAAACGGAAAATGCCAGTGCCATTAGAAAGCAAAGGGCTTCTGTGACAAAAATGTCACAGCGGGAAGAGATGGTCAAAAAATGCCTGGGGGAGCTTACAGACACCTGCAAAACTCTCGGCAAAATCTTTGATGTCCACTACTTCAATATTTTCAGTACTTCAACTCTAAAGAAAATAGCAGGTAATGGCAGCTCCTGGCTGGTCAGAACCCCCTGCAGGCAGCAGTCTGCACGTGTGGCCGTGCCCTTGGCTGCCAGCACGCCCATGGCTGTGTCAAACAGAGGGTTTGGCAGCTGAGCGCGTCCTTGGGCAGCACCTGCAGCATAGGGTCCCACAGCTGTGGTCAAGTGTCACAGCCTGGAATCCAGGTGATTGTGCTGCAGATTTTGTAACGTTTCAGAGAAAGCTCTTGGGCACGTTTCTGTACTGAAAATCTACCAGAAAAAAAAAGAGGCTTATTTCCTAAATAAAAACAGAGCCAATTTCCTTCAGAACGTTCCGCTGCGGTGTCTGTCACCACGTGAAGGTGCTGATCAGACCTGACAACCTGTTGTGTTGCAGAAACCTTGTCTTCTGATGCGGAGGTTTTGCTGCAGATCGATGGTGTCACAGAAGATAAATTGGAGAAATATGGTGCAGAAATCATGAAGGTGATGGACAAGTACTCTGAATGGACGACGCCAGGTATTCTCTGCGCCTCAGTGTGCATTTGCCTATTTGATTCTCTTCCTTCCTGACCTGTAGGAAGTTCCACTCAGAAGTTACCTTGTTTTAAACTCAGTTTGCTATTTCTTGGAGTTCAGTAACTACAGCAGGGGGCGATTGCACCTTTTCACAGCGTACGAAGATCTCTGCTGTCTTTTCACCAGTTAAATTCAGCACAGATCTGAAAGGCTGGAAAAGGAAAACAAGGAGTGAGCGGTGAGCGTATGGCTCTTGCCTTTCCTGATGGCTACTGGGATCTGTGTAATGTACTTGGTTACACTGAGACCCCAGGACCTTGAGGTTAAGATCCTGCACCTCCATGTATTTCTGTGTTTGGTAGCACTGCAGCCTGGCAGGCTGTCAGTAACTGCTGCCCTTTATTTCTCATAATAACCGAGGTCAGAGCATCCCAGTCTGCACTCACGAGCTCTCACTGAAATGTGAAGAATTTCAAAACTAGGTTGAAAGAAGACAAGTGGTGTTTTACCATCAGGTTGTGCAGCTCTTCACCTGAAACACAACGAGCAGCTCAGGGCAGCACTGAGCCACTGAACTCTGGCAACTTCACACAAGCACAGCAGGCAGCCTGTGCTGTAATGAGGGTAACAGCCGTCAGATTTGACAGTGGGGCCCTCGATAAATGCGTGCGGACAAACCTGACTGAAGTGCTGCATTCTGCTGCCTGTGGGAAGAGTCGTTCTTCCTCTTAGGACAGACTGAGAAGGAGATTTCTGCTGTCTGAGCCCATCTGCATCTCCTGGCCTTGTTCTTAAAAACAAGTGCTGTATCTGACTGTAGTATTTGTGGTGTATTCCATAACGCTTTCCAGTGCGAAGGCAGAAAGCCCAGTGGTAGCATGGGCTAATGGTTGAGACCAGCAGCCAAGTGAGTGAAAACAGGGCTGATCTCTTGTGTGTAGATGGTGGTGAGCTGAACCCAAACAGCCTTCTGGCTGTCTTTGCTTTACACCAGCCCAAGAAATGCCTCGGGCTGAGCAGGAGGAAGGGCGTGAGGAGGTGTGAAGTGCAGGGAGGGGTCGGTAGGATTAGCGTTCCATCTGGTTACCTGCCATTCATTGACTGTCTGCAGACGATGCTGCCTGCGGGAGTGCTGATGTGGCTCCGGGGAGCGCCGGCACAGCTGGGAGTGAGGAGGAAGCAGAAGACAACATTGTGACCTCGAGCTATTTCGGTGGCAATGCAAACCAGAGGAGGAAGAGGAAAAGGCTGCCAAACTTCGCAGAATCCAAGAGGAAAAAGACGAGCGGTGGTGGCAGCCAGCAGTTTTATTCCAGAGGGTAATGCTGGCTGTGCTCACTGCAGCTTTTTGTCTAGGATAACGTGGTGATGATCCCAGAACTGCACTGTTAGCATGGCACGTTTTGTCAGTAATCGTACGGGCTCACTGCAGGTTAGTTCATCCAGCACTGAGCTTGAAAGCTCCTCAGGTGTCATTTCTGGGCTTCTCAGTGCAGTGCAGCACCGCAAGTAAGCCACGATTTCACCATTCACCTTCCCACTGCTGGAAGTCACCACGTGCAGGGCAAATCAGAGGTACATTCTTAGTGCTTTCGTACTGATCACTTCTTCACTTGTAATTAGATTATGTGACTGCACTGTAATCAAACTTCAGCTTTGTTTTTTCTTAATTGGCTTGACCATGTTCTCTGTAGGCATGTTTTTGTTCTTTATCCTGCTGATCTGCTCGTGAAGCATAACTGTAGCACTGCTGCTGTCATTGCTCTTAAATCTATGCAAACTCACGCTGCTCACAGAGCGTATGGGATCGTGCAGGAAGTGCAGTTGGTGACTTAGAGGCATGTACGAAAAATACCTGCTTGATTTTGCACTTGCTTCATTTTATGGCGTGGAGGAGCTGACAAGGGCAGCACTGAGTTGTACTGCTGTGTTCTCCAAAACACGCTGTGAGAGCCCTGCTTGGACAGTCACAGCTGACCGAAACACGCTGGCTTTTGTTAACTACCAAGTTGTAATCACCCGTGGCAGAGATGGCACAGCACACCTTGTTAGAACTGGGCGCTTGCTGCCACTGCTGCTCTTGTTCTGGGATTCCTTTTGTGCTGGCTGACCCCCTCTGGAGGGGGTCCAGGTTTTTGTGCATCTGTTTATTTGTAGGAAAGAGCCAGTTCCAACTCAGCAGGCTTTATTCCCACCCTCTCCACCTTCCCATCTACTAAAATGTTAGCTGCTACACGCAGTTGACCCCGAAATGTCTCTTCATGCTGATACTCTAATTGGATTAATGGGAGTCAGGTTGCTCAGTGTCCCTGGTTCAGGCTGCCGCTCGCCCCTGGGCAGATGTCACACAGCAGCTACACTTCATTTGCATTGCAGTACAGTCATCCACAGACTTATTTAGCATGCAGCTTACAAACGCACTGCGGTGGGGCTGGGGGCCACGAGGCCCAGAGCTCCTCTGTAACGCTGCGCTTTCTCCCCAACCACCACAGGGCCAAATGCAGGCGGACACGAAGGGCGCCCGGCTCGAGGGCCGCAGCTCCTGCACACAGCTCAGCAGGGCGTGGGGCCAGGACGCAGCTGGGCATCATGGCACCTCCCAGACCCAACAGCAGGCACTTCCTGCAGCCCTCCTACGCCGTGCTGCAGTGAGGGACGCAAAGCGCTGTGACGTCGTACTGGGTTAGCAGTGTTTATTTCGGTGGATGAACCTTCTTAGATTTGTACATTTGTCAAGTCCAAAAGTTCACTTTAAATAAATATTTTTTTTAAAACTCGTGAATTTATTCAGGCTTTATTTCTACTGTAAGTTCTGTACACAGACCCATCCCAGCAGCCTGCACTAACACTGCCTGGGATCAATCAGAAGCAGTTACTGCAGCTGTGAGCCCCAGGGATGCCAACAGCTCTGTTCTTCTGCCTTGCTGGTGGTGTAAGAACTTCAGAGCTGGAGAGCTGAGGGGCTCTGCGAATTTACATAGAATCACAGAATGGCCTGGGTTGAAAAGGAGCTCAATGCTCATCCACTTCCAACCCCCTGCTGTGTGCAGGTCGCCAACCAGCAGCCCAGGCTGCCCAGAGCCACATCCAGCCTGGCCTTGAATGCCTGCAGGGATGGGGCATCCACAGCCTCCTCGGGCAACCTGTTCCAGCGCCTCACCGCCCTCTGGGGGTGTTAACCTGATATATAAAACATGGCTTGGCAGTTCTAAGTTTCAGTTTTTCTCCCCAGTGCTGGGGCTGGAACAGCTGCTGCTGTGCGCCCCACGCCGCTGTTAGCGCACTCCTCTCAGGCTCTGAGTTAGCCGTCGGTTTGCTGCGGGCCTCGGGCCGGCACCAACAGCCCCGGAGCGTTCCAGGCCTTCCGGACGGCACGGCTTTCTCCACATGCGGTGCTGCGCCGGAGGAGCCGGGGCACGGCTGCTCTGCTCACCGTTTGTTGGAGCGAGCGGTCCCAGCAGCTGACGCTGAGCAACGAGCCTGGAAGCGCTCCGATGGATTTTATACAACCCGAGGCACGTTTTGACCTCCTCCTGTCCTCCGCACTGAAGCACACCGGTGCCAGGACGGGAGCTCGGGGCGAGGCGAGAGCCTCGGGTCGTGCCGGGAGGGCCAGGACGCGGGGCAGGGAGTTGCGGGTGGGTGCGGGCCGGGGATCTCGGCGGCCTTCCAGCCCTCCCGGCCCCGTGACGCAGCTGCGGGCTCTGATCACGGCGCGGCTCCCACCGCTGGACGCTGCGTTCCGGCGCCGCGCCCCGCCCCGCCGTGCGGAAGGCGCCGTGGGAGGGGCGGAGCCGCTGCGGGACGCGGGAAGGGCCGGATCCGCCCCGCCGGGAGCGCCGTGCTGATGGCGGCGGAGAGCGGGACGGGAGCGGCGGAGCGCCAGGAGTTGTCGCCGCGCTCCCAGCAGCAGATGCAGGTTGGACCGGGAGCTGGGGCGGCTCAGTTCAGCTCGGCTCGGCTCCCCTCGGCTCGGCTCTGCTCCCCTCCCCGCTCACCACCGCATCTCTCCCCATTCCCCCCCCAGGAGCGCACCCCGCCGCCCCCCGCCGCGCCCCCCCCGGCCCCGCTGCCGGCCTCGCGCCGCTCCCCACAGCTCCGCGTGCTGCTGACGCCGCTTCCCGCGCCGGGCCGGCGGCTGCCCCAGAAGCGGCTGTTGGGCGCCTACGATGAGGCGGCGGGGGGGGACGGGAAGCGGCGGCGCGCGGAGCCCTGCGACCCGGAGCGCGCGGACGGCGGGTCGGACGGCGACGCCGACAGCGACGGGACGGAGTTGGGACAGGTGGGTGCGGGACACCGGGACGGGCGGCGAACGGAGCCCCCAGCCTTCCCCCCCCCCCCCGCCGTTTCCCGCGGCGCGGACTACCGGGCCGTTCTCGCTGCAGGATGGGAGCCCGCAGCTGTCGGCGTACGAGAGGAAGCGGCTGAAGAACATCTCCGAGAACGCCAAGTTCTTCGCTGCTTTGAAGCTGCACGAGGTCGGTGCGGGTCCCGGCCGTGTGGCCGCCCGCTGGGCGCTGCGGCTCGGGCGGAGCGGCTCCGTGTGCCCGACGCCGGGATGGGGGGAGCCGCGCGGCCGGCGCTGCGCACGGGGCTGGGGGGTGCCGGGAGTCTGCAGGGCTCCGGGGCGCGATGTGGATCTTCGGAATGGAGGCGGTGAAGCGCTGTGTTTTGCGCTCCTGTGCTGAGCGTCCGGCCGGTGGCGTTTGGTGTTCATGTCGCTTGGCAAGGAAGCAGCTCCGGGGCACCCAGGCAGGGTTCAGACTGGCTCTGGTGCAAGGCAGAGCACAGCCTGATATGAAAGCCCTCTTTTTGTTATTTCTTACAAATAATTATTGCTCATTGCAGCCTTTGGGTGGTTGTTTTTATAGAGCTCCGTGTTTTGTGCTCGCTGGATGTGCTTTTAACCTCTGCCTTTCTGTTCTTAAGTCAGCCGCAAGACTCCACCAAATTGCAGCTAAAGGACCATCTCACGTCACCAAGAGGTAAAGCTGCTGTGGGAGAGGTGTGGCTGCACCCCGTGCTGTGTGAGCCCTTCTCTGTGTGTGTGTCTGTGCTCAGAATGGGTAGAGCAGGCAGCAGCTCTGGAGCTCTCAGCAGCCCATGGCCCTGCTGTGTCAGTGCTGAGCTGTGGTGCTCGGCTCTGCCATCCCATGGCACGCAGTGCTGCTGTGAGCGCCCTTCTGATCGTGTGTCAGAGCGCGTTCCCTTCATTCTATTTGTCTGAAGGTGTTTCAGGTGCTTTTTGGTTTCTTTTTATTCTCCTTCCTTGAGGTACTTCTTTATTATGGCCAAAGGGAGAAGCGCTGAGTTGTGTAAGCAAAGGGCAGGGAGAGGGGAGGGGAGCAGAGGGGATGGGGGAGCAGGGAAATGCACTGCATTAAATGCAAAGTAATGGGGACTGTGATGAAAGGAGGGAGAAGATGAGCAGATCAGAGAGAGGAAGGATGAATTATAAATGAGGAGGGATGGGAGGAAAGCCGTGTCAGGATGTAGTACAAGGAAACAAATGTCATAAATCCGTGTGCGCTGCCACTGCTCTGTTCTCTGCTGTCACCGAAGGGAGGAGCGATGGCAGGGCAGTTGGGCTCAGGTGTCCGGGCTGCAGGGCTGTGTTTTGCTGGGGAATTGTGCTTGTGGAGGAGCTCTGTTGCTTAGCAGTGCTGTCATTGCAGAGCGAAGCCCAAGAAGGCCGAGGGCAGCACAGTGCAGCGCAGGTCTATGCGGCTCCAGAGGATGCAGCCCCCAGAGGTCCCGCAGGTGGAGGCACCGGCGCAGGAGGAGGAAGAATATGTGAGATGGGGCTGGGGCTGGGGGGGCTGCTGGGGGACAGCTGTGTGCTGCCGAGTGCTGCCATGCTCCCTGGAAAGCCCTTCAGGCACTGTGTGGGGCTGTGCTGCTGGCAGAAGGGGAGCGCACACCCTGAGCACTGCACTGCCTGCATCTCCTCAGAGGTGGCTGATGTTTGGAGGTGGCTGATGCTCAGAGGGCCATTAATGAGGCAGTGCACCTTGGGGTGCTGCTGAGGGTCGTCAGGTGCTGCAGTCTGCATTTCTCAGCAGTCTGCAGACATGAGCAGTGTTATGCTCAGCTCTGTGCCAGTGGTTGGTGTGAGCTGTGACCCCGTGTCCCAGCCCCAGGTCCCCGCTGGACCGCTGCCCATGGCCGTGGATGAGCAGGAGAAGAGCAGTGATACAGCATTGCTGGGCACCTGGCTGCGGCTGAGCGAGGTACGGCTGGCTGCCTTTGGTGGCATCTCTGGATAGCATTGCTCGTGTCTTATGTGGTCTCATTCTGATGTGCATCTCTTTTCAATCCTTAGATGAACAGTAATGACACTGAAAAGCCCACGTGCGACATGAAGAGGTAATGGGGGGTGACACAGAGCCTGGTGTGGGCTCTGCTCCTCCCTGTGGTGGCTGACGTGGCGGTGTGTGCAGGTACCAGGCTGCCCTGAGCAGCATGCTGCTGCGTGAGGATGGCATCAGGAAGGTGGTGAGCAGCCGTGTGTGCTCTGTGGCCATCCACCCCTCGGAGAGCACCGTGCTGGTGGCAGCTGGTGACAAGTATGGTCACGTCGGGCTCTGGGACGCTGTAAGTGTGCTCCTCTGCCCAGCAGCGCCGTGCTGGCACACTGTGAGCCATAGCATTGCCATTCCTGCTGATGGGCTCAGCTGACAGCGGTGCCACAGGAGCTGTGCTGGTGTGGGAGGCTGAGGGGGGAGGGATGCTCAGCAGTTTGGGTTCTGTGTTTGTGCTGGACTGACCAGCTTCAGCTGTGTGCTGCCTCTGCTGTTGAGGCGTTTGAAATGCTCCACATAATGTTGGAGACTGCTGACCCCTGCAGCCCCTCCCACAGCACTCGGTGGTCCCACGGAGCACCAAGCACTGCACAGCTGTGGCAATCGGTGGGAAGTACTGCAATGGCTCTTATTAAGCATCCGTTAATTGGCTTTTGTTATTCAGAGCTGTACAACCGAGGGAGGAGCGCTCGTCTTCACCCCACACAATTTCTCCGTCAACTGCATGCGCTTCTCGCCCTCCCACCCCGCACAGCTGCTGTCCCTGAGCCACGACTCCCTGCGCTGCGGGGATGTCAGCAGGGGGGTGTTTGATGAGGTGGGTGCTGCTCCATCCTGCTCCCATTGCAGCCCAGGGGTTACGTGGGGGTTGTTAACAGGGGAGGTGAACGTCCCATTTCCGTGAGGTGGCTTTGACTGGTGTCAGGAAGGTGGCGGTGCTGCCCGGCCAGGTGCACTTTGGCTGGGGCGGCTGGAGCTCTGCATGGTAGAAGGAAGGAGGCTGGAAACTAAATTCAATGCGTGCCCCTTCCCAAAACCAGTGCTGCTTGAAGGTGGGGAATGAGAGCAGCTTAAAGAACAAAGCATGAGCCAGATGACTTTGCTCTTCCCAGGCTCCGAGGGAGCAAAGAGTTGTGACTGTCCAACCCATCTGCACAGAGCGGCTCCGAGAGCAGGGTGCAGGGCCAGCTGAGGTGGGGGTGGTCAATTGCCTGCTGTGGGAAAAGTGCACCATTTGAACAGATAGGTCATGCAATGGAGAGCTGAGCTCCTCAGTCAGGTCATTGTAGAGTTTTCAGTATCCAAAAAATGCCCGTAGCGTTTGGTGTTGTGTGTTTACTGTGTATGGTTGTATAATTTTACTTTCTTTTGCCCTCTTCGGCGCTCAGATATGCAGAAGTGAGGACAGCCTCTCCTCCTTTGATTTCCTGGAAGATGGCGCCTGCACGGCCATCGTGGGGCTCTGGGGTGGCACAGTGGCTGTGGTGGACAGGAGGACCCCGGGGACGTCACCAGAGCTCTCTGCAGACATTGGCTTCAAAGTAACGAGGACGGTGGACGTGCACCCCGTGGACAAGCAGTACTTCCTTGCTGCTGGCTCTGTGTACGTAGCTCAGAATGCACTGCTGTTGTCTGCTTGGGATGTTCCGTGGGCCTCGCTCTGATGCCTGCTGCAAGGGGCGCCGTGCAGAGCAGGAGCTGTGCTGGGGGTGGTTCTCAGTGCTGCCGGATGGTCCCGGCTTTCTTGGCTCTTAGAAAACCCATTTTTAGTCTTCAGCAGCATTTGAAATGATGGAATCTTGTTTTACAATCCCTTACCTGCTCACCTGCTGCGTTGCAGCGATGTCCGTGTCTACGACGTCCGATGGCTGCGGCGCAGTGGGAACAAAGCTGTGAGCACCCTGCATGGGCACACCAAGAGCGTGGCCTCTGCCTACTTCTCACCCATCAGCGGGCACCGCGTGGTCACGGTGTGTGCAGACGACAAGCTGAGGTGAGGCTGGGGGGGCTGAGGCCGTTTGGGGGCTGAGCCTGCAGTGCCCTGGTTCCTTAGTTCCTGTCTTTGCTGCCCACTGCTGGGAGCATCCTCTGCCTCCGTCGCTTCTTCAAATGGCATTTTGCATAGGCATTCGTATTCTGATTTTGATTTTATTTTTATTTTTCTGATTTTCGTTTTCCTGAGGAAAGTTGATCAGGGAGCAGCTCTGGGCCTTTTTGGTCATTACTCAGCTTATGCTGCTGAGCCTTTTGCCCCCTTACAGCTGCTGTGTGGGGAAGGAGAGCCCAGCAGAGCTGTGCCGGTGTTCCTGCCCTGGGAGCTGCTGGCAGTGCGCCTTCACCAGGGCTTTCCTTCCTTGTCCCATGCATCTTCTTGTGCCATAGTGAAATGGACACGGAAGGGGATAGGGGAACCTGTCATTTTGCTCTGCTGTCCTCTCAACAGCATTCTGGGAGGTCTGCCCTCAGTTTGTGCTGAGAGGAAATTCCCATTGCAGACTGTGGCTGGGATGTCAGTGCTCACGGCTGAGTGCTGCACTGTGTGCCTGTGGTGCTGCTCAGGTGCTCCACGAGGTGGGGCTGCCTCTTCTACCACATCTAGTGCCCATCAGCACGCATTGTTTTGTTCTACAGGGTCTATGACACCAGCTCTTTATCGGCCACCTCTGCCCTGCTCAGCACTGTCAGGTACGGCGGGGTGGGCTCTGCTGGGTTGGTGCTGCACGGGGTCTCACAGCCAGGAGGAGGCAGCAGCTTGTGACTGCTGCAGTGCGTTCTGTTTGAATGCTCTCTCTTTCTCTGTCCGTTTCTAACATACGAGGGGTTACTGAGCAGTGAAGGATGTGTTTCCAAGAGGTGCTGCTGCCTGCAGAGCTCTGCCAGCCGCCAGGCTTGGCCCCTTGGTGTGGGCACCACATCGGGGATGGGTGTGACTCAGGCTGAGCATAGGATCATGAAGGTTGGAAAAAAGGCTTCTGAGACCATCAAGTCCATCCGTGACCCATCAATACCCGTTCATTTCCAAGTGTCCTCTGGCTTCTGTTCTTGTTCTGTTTTGTTTCTTTGTCCCTTTGCAGCCCTGTGCCAGCAATGGGAGCCAGCAGCGTGTAGGGAGCAGTGGGATGGGCTTTGGCAAACATACGGTGTAGATGGTAGTGTCTTCCTGCTGCAGTTCTGCATCTGCTCTCTCTGTTCTGCAGGCACAACAACAACACGGGCCGCTGGCTGACGCGCTTCCGCGCGGTGTGGGACCCCAAACAGGAGCAGTGCTTTGTGGTGGGCAGCATGGCACGGCCGAGGCAGATCGAGGTGTTCCAGGACACGGGGGTGCTGCTGCACGCCTTCTGCAGCCCCGAGTGCCTGGGCTCCGTCTGCTCCATCAATGCATTCCACCCCACCAGGAACGTCCTTGTGGGTGGCAACTCCAGCGGTCGCCTGCACATCTTCATGGAGTAGGGGAGGGGGGCAGGGGGGCTGTGGGGGAGCAAACTGCGGCTTATAAGTGCTTTACCTGCTTGTGGTTAGGATTCCTTTCAATAAAAAGATTAATCTAAGGGTGGCGGCTAGCGGGGTTTGTACCAAAAGAGCTGTTTTCCCTGATGAGGAACTCGGGAAGGGCTGGGGCACAGCTGGGGGGTGAGTGGCACAGCTGGGGGGCACATCTTGGCCCCATGGGTTTCAACTGGAGGCACAGCTGTGTCATACTGGGGGGAACGGGGAGGCACAGCTGGGGGAACATTTGGGGGCACAACCTTGCTGCTGGCTCCAGGGCCTCGCGCTCAGCTTTGAGGTGTGTGAGAGCAAACAAATCTCAAACCAAGCCAGTTTTGTTTTTGTTTCCTTTTTTTCCCATGATATTTAAATATTTATTTCAATTTAAAAATACTTCTCATGGCACCAATGATTTTATGCTCACTAAGATATCGAATATGTAGAAAAAGGTACATTTTGAAGGAAAATGTAGCTTACAGTATTTGGCACATGAAAGGTTAATTCCTAGGTTTTTCTTATGAAAACTAAGAAATTCACATTTTCAGGTATTTCACCGTCTACTGCGCAAAGATGCAGTACGCTACGACTGCGTTTTTGTTGGGTATGAGAACTATGGGAACAACACCCGAATAGAAAGACATAAAACTAACAGGTGCTGGGACACCGGACGTGGGAAAACATAGCATGGACGTCACCCATTGCTCGGGGTCTTGGTGGTAAAATACCGGGTGGGAACGGTGGGGTTCTGTGGGGCTGATGGCATCGCTGTCCTAAAGGAAGCGGATGGAGCAGGCCGAGGTCGGCGGTGCTGCGGGCACCGGGCAGGGGCTACCACGCACTGCATAGACACACTGACTACGGGCTGAGGTAGGAACACTACACTACGAGTGAACTCGGCTACGTTGCATAAACGGGGTCACGGGGACAGCGCGGTGGCGGCGGCCGTTTGGGGACGGTGGCCACGTGGTGGCACAGCGCAGCCGTCCTGCTGTGTGGCGCTGCGTGTGGCAGCCATGTGGCACCGTCTGGGCCATCATGCGGGTCTCTGCCCGGCAGCTGTGTGTCACTGTGGGCATTGGCAGCCGTGTGTCACCATGTGGGCGCAGTGTGGCACCACATAGCTGTCGTGGCACCGCATGGCCGTGCCCTGTGCCCGCCGTGGCTCTGCTGAGCATGGCAGCGATGGCCCCAGCGCTGTGAGATCTCTCCCTGAGATGAAGTAGAGCTGCTCGGCCGCTCGCCCCGTGTCCAGCGGCAGCCCCAGCGCGCCTGGACCGGCGTTATTGCTGCAGGGAAGGGCTGTCCCCGCTGCCCGGCTCCATGCGTGCCACGAGCTATCGGCGTGTTTTTGCTTAAGGACGGATGGAGAGCGATGGCTGTCCGGTGGCTTTCCAGCGTTACCTCTTCCCCTGCAGCGCTGTCCTTTTGTCTTCAGGAAAGTCCTAAAATTACCGCTCCTCTCTGTATCTCAAACCAGGAGCGTGGCAGATGGGTTGCAAAGCATCCGCTGCCCCGTGGAGCCCCTCCGCACCGCCTTCGCTCCGGGCGGAAAGTAAAAAAAAGACTCAGGATCAATAACAAAATAGCTTCTCGTTGTTAAAATAGACCTCGAAACAGTCTTTTGTACAAAAGGAGCTGAGCGCGGGGCCGTGGCGCTGCTGGGGTCCCCAGAGAGCGGCACGGGGGTCCTGCAGCACGGTGACACGGGGACCATCCTGCGCCCTGCAGCGCCTGGGAAGATGCTGGCGCAAGGATGAGCGTTAATAGCAAAATAAATTCCTCTCTTTATTCGGTTCTCCCACCGCACCCCGCAGGGACGGGGACCCCTGCAGCGCTTCCGCTCTTCTCCTGCGGAACGAAGGGAGCTGGGGCCGCGGGGCCTCAGGTGTCAGTGAGCAGAGCCACCACGGCGCGGAGCTTGCAGGCAAACCATCGCCTGAGGGGACAAAAGTATTGGTAATGGAACTGCTCGAACTCGGGGGTCTGGCGGATATCGCGGAAAAAGGCAGTGTCAAGGTCGGACTCGGTAAGGACGATGAGGAGGAGGAGCAAGACAAAGAGGAGTCCCACTGTCACGAGGAGCAAACGGAGGACACTTAAAACAAACTTATTCACCTGTTCCGCCCGCGGCCCGCTGCCGGCACCCTGGCACAACGCGCGCAGCTCGCGCGGCTCCTCGGGCTCCGTGCCGGGCGTGCCGGCCTCCGACTCCTTCTCCTCCTCGATGCTGCACGGGGCTCCGTTCAGCTGCCGGGACAGCAGCAGCAGCTCCAGGCTGTGCTCGGCCACCGGCGTGGGCAGCACGCTGTCGGCAGGGCTGTAGCTCTCGTCGGCGATGATGGCCACGCGTTCGCTGCTCTCAGCGCGGCCGCCGCGGCCGTGGGGCACGAAGGCGTCGCCGTGGGATGCGGAGCGCACCGGTGTGGAGTGGGCGCTGTCACGGAGTGACTCCAGGCCTGGGGGACGGGGGAGGTCAGCGTGCGGCCACTGAGCTGCCCCAGACCCAAACCACCCACGCTGTGCCCTGGGGTCCTTCTGCTATTGCAGTGTATGGCGTTCTGTTCTATTCTTTTCCATTTGCTTTCATTTCATGCCATGCTATTCCATTCTATCTCCTTTCATGCCATTCCATTCCATTCTATTTCATTCCATACTTTTCCATTCCACTCTATTCCATGCCATTCATTCTAGCCTATCCCATTCTCTTGCATGCCATGCCACTCCATTCTGTCCCATTCCATTCAGCTCCATTCCGTTCCATCCAACTTCACTGAATTCCATTCCATCCTATTCCATACAATCCCGTTTCATTCTATTCCATTCTGTTTCACTCAATTCTATTCCATTCCATGCCATTCCATCCCATCCTATCCCATTCTCTTGCATGCCATGCCATGCCATGCCATTCCATTCTATCCTATCCCATTGCTTCCCCTTCAGCTCCATTCTGTTCCATCCAACTTCTTTCTGTTCTAGCCCATGCCATTATTTTCCATTCCATCCCATCATAAATCATGGTAGAATCACACAATGGTTGGGCAGGAGGGGCCCTCACAGCCCCCTGCATGCACAGCTGTGTGCAGCACAGGGCTGCGACAGCTCAGCACCTGCATGCGTGTGACCCAGCTCTGCTTTCCAGCAGCAGCAGAAATAGCTGTGTGCACGGCTGGGTGCCCAGCCTGCTCAGGTTACAGCTGAGCCAGAGCTGCCCTTTAGGAGCTGAACCCTGCAGGCAGGGCTGGGGGGGGGGGGGGGGGGCTTCTCCCCACTATCTGAAAAAAACAACAGAAATTCCCACCTCCCCACTGTAAAAGTGTAGGACGAGGCAGGGGACAGCCGCCGGTTGGAGCTCTCAGGGGCATTTCCCCAGGGGGCACAGGGCCCCGGCACTGTGCCATGGGTGCTGCCCCAGTGCATTCCCCTGTGCTCTGCCACCTCCTGCTCGCAATGCTGCTGGATGCCTGTGGAGCCGTGCGCACAGCAGGGCACAGCATACAGCACAACACAGGGCACAGCACAGGACATAGCAAGGGGCATAGCGTGGGGCTTAGCAGGGAGCTTAACACGGGGCTGCAGGCACGGTGGGGGGCATGGCATGGGACTTAGCACAGGGCTGTGGGCATAGCATAGGGCATAGCGTGGGGCTTAGCAGGGCAGCGAGGGCACCGACAGCCGCGTTCACACCCTGACAGCTGCTTCGCACAGCCTCAGGGCACTGACAACCATTCCCCAAAATCCCCAAGGGGGAGGACAGTGACAGCCGCCCCCAGGCCAACCTGTGCTGCCACCCCCACCTCCAAGAGCTGAGAAACGTGGGGAACCCCCAACTGAGGGGTCAATAGTAATAATATCCCACTGGGGGGGGCACCCTGAGCTCCCCGCACCCCAACCCCACATCCCTCACCCCCCGGGGCTGCTGTCACAGGACCCCCTACCCCCCGGCCTCACCTGCTGTGTGCCCGCACGGAGTGAGGGGGCTGGCGCTGGGGCCAGGGGGAGCGGGCAGCAGGGGCAGAGCCCCCAGAGCGCGTGCCAGCAGCCGTGGCCCCAGTGCCAGCACCCGCACCCGCACCGCGCGGCAGCAGTGGTTGATGAAGCGCAGCTGCACGCTGACCCGGGTGGTGATCTTCACCAGGCACTTCCCCATGGCGTGGGGACGGCAGCACAGGGAAGGAGACCCACCAGCAGTGGCACGCCAGTGGCCCCACTGCTGTTCGAGGCTATTTTGGGCTCCTGCAGTGTCACAGCTACCAGCGAGGTGACAGTGACATGAAGCAGCCGTGGGCACGGTGCGGGGCACAGTGATGGATGGCCTGGGGCTGCATGTTGCCCGATCTGCAGCAGCACCCAGGGAGGGAGGACGGGGCCCTGGCTCTTAGCAGGCCCCAAAGCACAGCCCCCACCCAGCCCTGAGCTCCCACACAGCCTCAGGGCACTGACAACCATTCCCCACAATCCCCAGTGGCACAGGGGGGTCCTCAGGAGGTCCCTTACATGCCCTGGTGTGAGCACTGTGAGGTCCCTAGCTGTGCTGTTGGGGCTGCATGTGGACGGCACTGCAGGGCTCCTGGCAGCACAAGGTTCCAGTAGGACCTCAGTGACCCCAAATGCAGGGAAACAAAGGGACACCAACTGTGAGCACACGTGCAGCTGTGCTGAGTGCCCAAAGCAGCTCAAACCTGTGGCTGCAGGTGGGACTCATGGGAAATCACAGAGCAGGGGACCCAGGAGGCACTGCACGGCTCATCCCTGTTCTGTGTGCTCATTCCTAGTGGGGCGTCGCAATGACACTATTAAAGTTCAGGTCCTGTCCACGTCAGGCCCCAAACCCCATTGCCCTGAGCCACAACTGCTGCCACAAAGCTTCGGCCCTTTGATACCCGCTCCCTGACCAGAGGCAGTATCTCCTTTCCGTATGCCCACGTGCCCAGATAAGCGCCGTGCCCCACGCGCGTACCTTCCATGATGG